TGCAGAGGAGGAGAGGAGATACAAATACAGGTAACTTCAATGCACAGTATTATGAAAATGCACCAGATAGTCATGAATAAAGCACAAAATGAAGTTTGACAGGACAAGTCCACATAAGAGAAGGGCAATCAGGGAATGCTGACTAGAAGAGGTGATATTTGGGATGGGTTCTAAAGGAGAGGTACTGAGAGAAAGGATTATTTCTCTCTTGTATTTAGGAACTAATTATTGAATTAGGACGAAGGTCTTTCCCCTTTTTCTACTTCCTTATCCAGAAATCAACCAGTCTTTCTCAAAGACTTACCCAGGCTAAGGATCTAATTAAAAACAGCAGAGAAAATGCTACGTTTAGGCTAATGGGTGGATTCCTGCTAGTGTTGTTAACTCAGACAGGTCTAGGAAAATGTGGATTCTCCCTTTGTCAGACAGGTGATGTGGAGATGGATCATGGTCCTCCTTGAGACTGAAAGACAAACAACAACAATGGAAATAGCTAAGTCCCTTTGACCAAGATCTGGGTGCTCAGTGTCACATACCTCAAGACCCTCATTGCATTACAGCCCACCTCTCATTGGAATATTCATTCTCTCATAAATTGTTAACCAATCAGAGTTGGTTGCCAAGAGTGGGGAACACCCACTCTTCCAAGGGCATAGAAAGAGCGAGCTCACTGCCATGAAGGGTCTTTGGCATTCAACAGTGCCACTGACCTCTTTTATGAATAACATGCTGCCATTATTAAAATGATTAAATTACTGAGAAACTATGTCTCCTGAACTTTTTCAATATCACAGTAGGAATTATCAGGAAAAGGGGAAGGGAGAGCTGTTTCCGGCAAAGGGGAGAGGATGAGGAAAAGCAGGGAGGTGGGAAAGAACAGAGTATGTTGGTTCCCCACGAGGCTGTGGAGGAAGGGGTCCATGAGGTGCCCTGACCTCCTGCTCCTGGTCCGACCCAGATTAGTGCAGCCGCTTGGATGCCTAGCCATGGACTGGGGGAACATTAAGGACTGCCAAACCCAACTCTTCAGGGAGACTGGGGTAGGTGGGGCTCTGATGGGCAGACACAGCCCACAGACAGTGAGACATGGGTAAACAGCCTGGAGATTGGCTGGGGAGTCAGGCCCCGGGGCAGGCCAGACTAAGAGGAAACCAAACAGGCAGGCAGCCAGGCCAGCTAGGTGGGAGAGGCCGTGGGAGAGAAGAGCCCTCAGCACCATGGGCTCTGGAGGCCGCCTCCTGATACTACTGCTACTGCTGCTGTTTATCCTGAGTCAGGACCACAATAAGCTGCTGGCTTTTTTCCGCATGAAATATGGCTGTAGGTGATGGGGGAGAGGCAGGGGAGGACTGTGTGAAGGGAGATACCCCCCAAACCCCGACTCAGTTGAAGCTCAGAATATTTCCCCAAAGAGTTTCTTTCAGAAGCAAGCATAGACTGGGAGAGGGAAGGGGGCTGTGGGGAAGGGGAAAAGTGGGGGCTAACAGAGTGAGTCATGCTGTGCTCTCCCCTAGGGAAGTGCCCCCGAATCAGAGCAAAGTGTCTTTTCAGAGAGAATAATGATTGCGTCAATGACAAGGATTGCAAGGCCCAGGAGAAATGTTGCCTGTTCAGCTGTGGAATGAAATGTATAGACCCCACTGAAGGTATGCAACTGTCCTTCCTCCCTCCCTCCCTTCCTTCCTTCCTTGTTTCTTTCTTTCTTTCTTTCTTTCTTTCTTCCTTTCTTCCTTCCTTCCTCCCTCCTCTGCCTCCCTCCTTGGTTCCTTCTCTCACTTCCTTCCTTCCTTCCCTCCTTCCTTCCTTCTTCCTTCCTCCCTCCTTCCCTTCCTTCCTTCCTTCCTTCCTTGCTTCTTTCTTTCTTTCTCTTTCTTTCTTTCATTCTTTCATTCTTTCTTTCTTTCTTCCTTTCTTCCTTCCTTCCTTCCTTCCTTCCTTCGTCCCTCCTCTGCCTCCCTCCTTGTATCCTTCTCTCACTTCCTTCCTTCCCTCCCTCCTTCCTTCCTTCCTCCCTTCCTCCCTCCCTCCTTCCCTTCCTTCCTTCTTTCCTTCCTTCGCCAGCCACCTGACAGGCATTTAGTAAGCACCCACTATATCCAGAGAGCTGTGATGAGCACAAGGAGTGATAAGAAGTTTAGATAAGTGCCTGTCTTCATGGGGCTTACAGTCTACAATCTACTGGGTCAAACACAAACACAGGCCCACAATCAACATTGCTGTGAATTCAGGAAATGCAAAATGCAATCTAAGAACCAAGGGAGATGATGGTTCCAGGACCAGAGAAGGCTTCATAGAAGAGGTGGCATTTGAGTTGACCTTGCCAAGACAGGTAGGCATTCCAAAGGAAAAGAAGGAAAGAGAGTCTATTTTAGGCAGTGTTCCCTGCTCTCCCCCCTGCCCCAGGATGCCTACTTCTGTTCATGGTCCCAGCTGACAGCCCCAGACCTCACTGCACCCATCTCCACCACTCAGGACCACCAGTTTCATTATTTGGTCCAGGAACTCCTGACCCTGTGCTTTAAGCTGAGGGAGTAGATATGGTGGGAAGGGGCTTGAATAAGGAGGAGGACACTCACATCCTGGCCCCAACTCTTTTGCTGTGTGATCCTGGGCCATAGCCTAGCAATGGGATTTTGGAGTCACAGAAGTTGGCCCCAAGGGCACACAGCTGGACCTGGGAGCCAGGTCTCTGCATTCCCTGGTGAGGGCTTTTCTTCCAGATAAGACTGTCAACGTTGGTGATGGATGGTGTTAGGGAGATGGAGGCCAACTTTACTCTCAAACTCTTTCTTTGGTTCAAAACTCTCTAATCTCTTTTCAGACCCATGTGACCGGATCGTCAAGACTAAACATTGTCAGCACACTTTGACCCGATGGTACTATAGCATTAAAGAAAATGAATGCTACCCTTTCGAGTACAACCTCTGCACTGATAGCAAAAACAGCTTCCAGTCTCATGATGTTTGCAAGAGAACCTGCTTGGCATTTGGTGAGGCCATGAACTTGAGAGGCAGTAGGGTGGTGTCACAGAAAGAGTTCCAGACTTTGGGTTAAGACACCAGGGTTTCATTTGGGCTCTGACCCCAATTAGCTCCTGGCCACTGTGTGGACAGTGGTCAGGTGGACCTTTGGGAGGTAACAAAGGGGACCCTATTCTCTGATCCAATCAGAGGCCATGCACAGCCCCATCCATTCATACTCCTTGCCCAAAGGGGCTCATACACATAGGATGTCACAGACTTAAGAACATAGCTTTTCCCTTGACCAGTTGGTTCAGTCTCAAGGCCAGTGGGGATGCCCAGCTTGGACTGGCTGCCAGGCTTAGCTTTGCAAAGGCCTCCAGGGATGGGGCCAATTTTCAGATAAGCCCTCTCTGTGCTATCCTTTCTGAGCATACCTATGTACTTCTTAAAGAGACCACTGGGTTTGATCACACTAACACACTAATGTTAGCACACTAACATTTCAGTATCTGATAACGTCTGCTGTGGAGGACCAGATGGTTCCCAGTGAGCATCCTCCTCCTTTGTAGTCAAGTCTAATCCTGATCAGAATGAGATGAATGCATTAAAGTGCAACCAAGCAAGGCTTGTGAGCTATCTCCTAGGACTGGAGTCAGCCACTTCTGCGGGTGTGTATGTGTAAAATCCAATCTGCTTCCTGGAGGAGGTGTCACTCGAGCTAGTCCTTGAAAGAGAACAAGGATGTCAGCAGCCAGAGATAGGACAGAGGCAGGGAGTCCAGGAGTCCATTCTAGGAAAGAGGGACAGTATCAGTCCATATCCATTTATAACATGCCTACTATGTACCAAGACCTATGCTAAGTGCTGGGGATGCAAAAAAGGCAAAAGGCAGGCTTTGCCTGCCCTCAAGGAGCTCACAGTCTAATGAGGGAGGCACCATATAAACATGCTACATACAGGATAAATTAGAAAGTCCACAGAGGGGATCACTGGGATTAAGGGGGATGGGGACAGGCTGCCTGTAACAGGTGGGATTTTATCTGGGATTGGAAGGACACCAGGGAACCCAGGAGGGAGAGGTGAGGAGGGAGGGCATTCCAGGCATGGGGGGCCATCTGGGGAAAATGTCCAGAGTTGGGAGATGGATGGTCTTGTGTGAGGAACAGCCAAGAGGCCAATGTCACTGGAGCAAAGAGTCCATGGGGGAGCGTAAGGTGTGATAAGACTGGACAGAGGGTGGTAGGGGCTAGGTTATGAAGGGCTTTGAATTCTAAACAAAGGATTTTATATTGGATCCTGGAGGTTATAGGGAACCCTAGGACATTATTGAGTCCAAGGGTGGGATGTATGGGAGGTGACATGATCTACAAAGTGTTAGCAAAGGCACAAAGATGAGGAAATCAGAATGAATGGAAGGCATGTGGAGATATCCATGGTGCCTGGGACACTGAGTCCCTGATCTAGAGGAGGCTGAGATAAGGCTTCACATCTTGCCTGTGGAGGAGTGGAAGGAGGAGGTCTGGGGCCAAGGGGAGGGAGGTCTTGGAGATGAGGAGTCTGTACCTTCTTCTTTGTTTTCTAGGACATGGAGTGCCAATACACCTCTTTGAGCTGGAAGGTGAACCATTTACTGTGCTAGTCTAGGCAAACATATCCCTCCAAAGAGCTTCAGGACTGGACCTTCTTCACAGAATAGCAGCATCTCAGAGCTACAGCGCACCTCAGGAGTCATCTGGTCCCTCATCTACATCTCCCAGATCTCCTCCCCAATATCCCATTCCAAGTAGTCATCCAGCCTCTTCTTGAAGGCCTCCAGTGACAGGGAGCTCACTCCCCTCTGAGACCCATTCCACTCTTATAAAGCTCTCATGGTTAGGAAGTTTGATCTTATACACAAGGTCCCCCAGGAAGTCAGTGTAAAAACTGGAATTCCAGCCCCTTGTCTCCTGACCCTTCTTAATTGGATGACCCTGGGTGAGGGGTTTTCCTTTGACTAGCTTCATTTTTCTCATCTGTCAAATGAGGGGGTGAGACTTGAGAGCCTCTGAGATCCTTTCCCACTCTAAATGTGTGAGCCTCTGTCCACTAAGACTAAAAATCAGCCTGGAATTGTAGGAGGAGTACTGAGCAAGGTCAATCTCATATTGTCCAGAGTTATTCCAGGGAGAACTGGCTGTTCTCTTTTGGGGCCAGGGTAGACTGAAGACATGTAATCACATGGCCTCAGGTCTAAGAGAATCATGCTGGGCCCCAAAGACCTAGCCCTGAGCAATTTTTGTGGCGGAGTTGCTTCAGTTGTGTCTGACTCGTCAAGACCGCATTTTGGGTTCTCTTGGCAAAGGCATTGAAGTGGTTTGCCGTTCATTGCCTTCTCCAGCTCATTTTGCAGATAAAGTGAGGCAATCAGGGTTAAGTAACTTGCCCGAGGTCAACCAACTAGTGTCTGAAATCAAGTCTTTACTGACTCAGGGCACAGGGCTCTATCCTCTGTACCACCTACTGCACCATGTCAGTATGGTTCATGGTAAGGAACAGAGGATTAAAGAGCCCTCTTCTTCCCAAGCTGCAGGGGACAGACTGAGCCTCTAGGATGGGAGCCAGAGACCCAAGGGCCCAAAGGATGGAAAGGGAGCAGGTAGGAGTTTCCAATATGGCCAGACAGAGCATCCTCAAATTGTAAAACTGGAAGCGAACAATCACCCTCCTCCACCCCCACTTCCCACCCCCAACTTCATTTTACCAATGAGTAAGTATGGTCCAAAAGTGATCGTGTGATTTGACCAAAATCATATCATCAATGGCAGAGGAAAAAATGAACCCAGTTTTTTCTCATTACCAAACCAACGCCCTTTCCTCTACACAGCATTTCCTTTATTCAGTCCTTTAAGAATTATGTTTTTCCTAGTTTAATGTACTTTTTCCAGTGAATAAATCATATAAAAAAGATGCCCTGAATCTCACTTCTGTGTTGGCAGGTGAAGAAAAGGCAAAGAAGTAATGAGAGCTACTGTAAGAGTTCCCCAAGATGGTGGAGGGATAGGGAGCAGGGGCAGGGAGGAGGAAAGACATTTCTCTCCTATTAATACAGAAAATGATCTGATGTCCGGCAGGCTAAAGACCTTTGTGCATCCTAGCCTGGGATCAGCCCTCATCTAATCCTCTGCCACAGAATGCTCAGAAAACCTGCCGAGGTTCACATCTCCTGGGCAACCATGGTATGACTTTAGCCCTTCAGCTACAGGATTCTCCCACTAGTCCCCTTCTCCTCTTAGAAGCACCCTGGGATCTTCTCCCTCTAGTTAGCCAATCCTGAATCTGAAAGTCAGTAGCTCTTGGCCTAAGAGATAACCACCAAGTTTGGAAACTTCCATTTTTCAGACTGATCCATGACTGACCTGTGGATAGAAAGGTAAGAGGAGGCAGTTAGGAATTGAGGTTCAAGCAACCCCAGAGTCCAGTTCTCTTGGGCAAACTAACACCTCCCACAGCTGCATGTCTCTACTGTAAATCCTCATTCTTACTGGGGGGGTGGGGCTGGGGGAATTCCTTCTACTTGCCTTTTCCTGGAGGTCCAACAAAGAGAAAGCTGTGACAAGGGAGGAGTCCAGAAGAAAAGGGGTCACCCCCATAGTTCCTTTAATGACGGTAACCCTACCAGATTTAGGTTCAATGTGAGGGAGACTGGATGATCACCATTAAGAGGGTCTATAGAGGGAAGTTCTACATAACCTGGGAAGGGAGACTAGACAGTTCTGCCCCTTATTATGGAATGACCTTGGGCAGGTCACTTTTTTAACCTCCTTGGGTCAAGTTCCTCCTCTGTAAAATGGGTCATTTGCACTAGATGATCTCCAAGGTTTCCTCCAGCTCTACATCCTGTGTTTATACCTAGGTTCAAACCCTGACTCAGCCAACCTTTGGGACCTAGACCTGGAGTGAGAGAACTGGGTGTGAAGTTGGATCACATGTTTACTCACCTTGTGACCTCAGGCAGATCACATCACCCATCACCCCCACCCCAAACTTCAAATTGCTCCCTGTGCAGAGAGGTCATTGGCTAGGTGACATCTAAGGTTTCTGCCACCTGGGAGAGCCTAAAGGTCAGTGAGTGCCCAGGGATGGAATGGAAGCATGTAGGAGCACCCATTAGGGTCAGACATGGCATCCTAAAAATCAAGATCTAGAAGAGATTCTAGAACCAGGAGCCAGAGTTTTTCCTGATGTCTCTCAAATCACACATCTCAGTCCTCAGTCTAGCCCTTCTGACAGCTGCAGTTATCTCTGCCCCGTCTTGGGGCATGAGGGTGGGGAGTCTCTTGGGTGGAAGGGGAAAGTC